CTAGCGTTTAAAACGTCAAATACAACAGGGAAAGGTTTTGCGTTTTTTAAGGACCTTTTGAAATGTTTATCTAGAATTGCTCTCTGGACTCCCTAAAAATGGGAGGCATGTTTCTTTTCGTTCGGGTGCTGTCAGTTCAATCGAAGATGGCGTCGAAACAACAAGCACTCCGCGAGCCTGTTGTACGGTTTTACGAAACGCATGGTCATCGTGGAAAAAAGTTTACGGTAGACCACTTTCGAGACGAAAATGTGCCCGTGAGTAAATACAGTTTACCGGATCCTGGCATTGAGCCTGGAGCGGAAGGCCGGTAGTGATAACGACCGTGAAATCGCAGTGTTTGTGGATGACGAAGAACTACCGCGGGACGTCGTTTGTGTCGCTCTTGAAAGCCCACATTCCAGGAAATGACAGCTACTATTCCAGCGACAAGTCGGCCACACCCCCCGAAGTAAAATATAAGTTTAAGCATAAATTTGAAAAAAAAAAAGTTATGCTGTACATCGCCATATCTGACAGAGGGATTTCAAAGTCATGGTTCAAGCCGAGCGGTCTGGCCATCAATCAACAAATGTACCAGGAGGAGTGTCCTGAGAAAATTCTTCTGCCGTTCTTAAAGGAGCATCATCCGGACAAGGCGTCTTCCCATTACGCCAAGAAGACGCTGGAGTATCTTGAGCAGAAAAAGGAAGAAAGGAACCCGACCAACTTGCCCCAGTGCCGTCCCACTGAGGATTTTTTCGGCTCCCTATAATTGGCGGGCCAAGGATACAAAGCAGTTGACCACAAGGATCCGGAATTGTATCCGTCCAGCGCTCTTGTGATAGCATCGCGACTAAGTTGCGTCGTACGGCTGACCAGGGCCCCTTCTCCAATAATCATTGACGTTTTTTTTTTGAAGAATAAATATTATGTTTTTAATAAAAAAAAAACTAGTGAATTCGTTGAAAAAAAAAATTTTTTTGCTAGCTATATGACTGAAAAAAATCTAAATTTTTATTGAACGCTCGTTATTTCCTCGTCATTTTTGGCTACCCATGAATCGAGAAACAGTCAATAGGTCATTCCGGTAATTCCTAGGGAATCGGGAAATACTTTTCAAACATTATTTAACTTCCTGAAGTTTTTGTTCATTTTTTACTTCCTGGATTTTCTTCCACTTTACACCGTAAATTAGTTCTTCCGTCTTCTTCCGCCAGTTTTCCATATTTTTATTGCGGTTTCACAGGAACTTTGAAGAAGTTCTGAAACTTTGGAAAAGTTTAAACTTTTGAGTAAGTTTCGATAAATTAAAGATAGTTTCAGAAAACTCGGAAATTTCAGGAAACTCAAGCAATTTCCAGTGAACTTACGGAAACATCAGAAATATTTAGGAATCTTCACAAGTCACTTCAGGGAAACTTAGGGGTTTCAGGACAGTTCCATTTGTTTCAGGAGAATTTATAGAACTTTAGGAAGCTCCGAGAACATCAGAACAGATCGATTAATTTCAACGAAATTGCAGAAATTTTAAAGGAGTTCCGAGTAACTCAGGCGATTTCCAAAAACTTCAGCAATGTTCCGAGGGGTTCATTCAAATTTAGGACACATAAGAGAAGTTACATGAACATGGTGAGAACATTTATGGGAAGTCCCGAACTTTTTAATGGCAGTGTCGAGAACTTAAAATAAAAAAAAAAAGATCGGGAAGATCAAAGAACTTTAATGCCAACGTTATCATAAATTCAAGAAAATTGTGAGATAACTTAAGAAATTTTAGAATCTTAAGGAAAGTCCAGAGACCTTCAAAGATGATTAGAGATATTCCGGTAGCCTCATTATAATCTAGGAAGTTCCAAGTACTTGGAGGATGACCACTCATGTAACAATTCTGCTTTTATGAGGGTTCTGTAGACTATGATTTAGACTTGTAGAATGCTATAAAACCTCTATAAAACTTGCAATGTTACTTAGGCAGAGAACTCAAAAACAGCCACATTACCTTCAGGAAAATAACAAGAACTTTTAAGGAACTCCGTGCAGTTATGGAATATTCCTAAGTGTATTTCAGGAATGCTCCAAAAACGTCAGGGGCATTGGGAGGCCTTCAGGGATGTTTTATGAATATCAGGAAAATTTTCTGTATCATTAGAACATCCCCCAGAAATCTCTTTCTTGCGGAAATATGTCCTTGTTTCTTTCGAATATTCCGTAAGCGCTCTGGCTTCTGACTTTCTCCAGAAGTTTCTTCCAATCTACCTAACGAAGTTTCTGCCAGCGTCTCCAGAAAGTTTCTTCCGTGTTCTCCATAAATCTCAATTAAACTTCACCCAAAAGTTTCTTTCTCTTCTTCTGGACGTTTGTCCATAAGCCATAGTTTTTTTAGGATTTCTATTGAAGGGTTTTTCCGAGCTTCTTCTGGCTTCCCCTGGATATGGCGTTTTCTGGAATTTACTTCTGATTTTGCGAAAATTTTCCGGCTTCCTTCGGATGTGACATTCCGAGATTCTCAAAACTTGTTTTGGAAGTTCCCCGGATGTTTTTTCGACTTTTCTCAGAACTTTCCTCAAACTTCGTCCAGGAGAGCTTCTTTCTTCTTTCTCTGGATAGTTTTTCAACACCCTTCAGAAGCTAATTCAAACATTCCCTGGAGTTTTCTTCCGGCATTATCCCACCATACACACTTCGAAAATAATTATTTTTACACGAGACGTAATTCAGCTTTGACGTAAATCATGAAATGTAAACAAACATGGTATGTAAAATTTAGTGTCCTGAAACTGAAACATATGCAACTCGACGAAAAGTGCGTTTGATTGAATTGATTTTCCCGTCCTTTTCAACTGATTCTTATGTCAAAAGGCCCGCTTGCATGTGTCGGTCTCAGGGCAGTGAAATTTATATGTATTTTTCGTAGTGTGTAGTTTAAAAGTTAAAATTTTCAAAAACGGCAAAAATATAAGATGAATTGAAACAGTAAATACCGATAAATACCGATTTTTAAAACCTTTGATACTGACGAGGATACGAGGAGGATACCGATAAGCTTTCAAACAATCTGGCAACGCTGGTCATATGAAGGGTTTCCGTCTTCAGCTAAATTGTTCAGATTAACAAGGAAAAGAGTTTAGTCCGGAATTAACTCACCAGGCGGCGCTAGTGTGACATTAATTTTTCATTGTTTGCCATAACTTACCATCTTGAATCGATAGAAGGTTTCCGTCTTCGGGAAAGTTCATCAGATGGACAAGACCTATCCTAGACTATTGGTGATCAAAATTGACTGATAAAGGGTGTCCCACATCAAATTGCATCACGAAAAAAAAACGCTGTAGAAAATTACCAATTGGGTATTTTCTCTTGAAAATTTGGGTAGAAGTAGTTTAGAGCGTATTGTCTACACTGTATTTTTATCGCTGTCAGTTGTCACCCGAAAAGCAACGCCGCGAATTGATTTTGCGCAAGCACCTGGAAAATCCTCAACTCTCTCATCGGGACATCGGAAAACAACTCGGAATCGTGCAGTCAACGGTGAGTCGTGTAATTAAACGTTACTACGAAACTCTGAGCATGGAACGGAAGGAGAAATGTGGTCAGAATTGATGTTCTATTAGTGATCAGGATCACAAGTGTGTCGTGAAAGCGTTTAAGCGGAATCCCAATGCTTCGGGCAGGGATGTGACCAAAAAGTTGAATCTGTCCAAGTCTTTCGTTCAGAGAGCCAAGGACCGGGAGGGACTGCATACGTACAAAGTGCAGAAGGCTCCAAATTGTGACGAACGGCAAAATACGGTGGGAAAGTCACGGCCCCGGAAACTGTACACCCAGATGCTGACGAATCCTCATTTTCTCATCATGGACGATGAGACTTACGTCAAGGCGGACTTCCGGCGGCTTCCAGGGCTACTGTTCTTCACCGCTCAGGACAAGTTTGATGTTCCGGAGGAAGCAAGGAAGCAGAAACTTTCAAAGTTTGCCAAGAAATACATGATTTTGCAAGCGATCTGCTCATGTGGCAAACGGAGTGCGCCGTTCGTGACTACTGGGACTGTGAACGGGGAGATCTACCTTAAGGAGTGTCTACAGCAGCGTCTGCTTCCTCTGTTGAAGCAACACGTCCGGGAGTGGTACGAAGCCAACGGGATCACTTTGGCACCCAAGGACATGAACACCCCCCCCCCCCCCACCCCAACGCACCAGAACTAAGGACCATCGAAAAATACTGGGCTATTATGAAGCAGGCACTACGGAAGCATCCCAAGGAGGTCAAATCTGAGGAAGACATGAAGAAAAAGTGGGCTTCCGTACAGAAGAAGCTGCAGCCAGATGTTGTACAGAATCTAATGAGTGGAGTTAAGCGTAAGGTGCGAGCGTACGGTATTGAAGTTGAATGAAATAAATATGCCAAAAGCTTACTAATGGGTTATATTTTATGGTCTGGAAGTTTGAAAAGATTGGGTCAACAATTTGATGTGGGACACCCTTTAATCGAAATTTGCGGGGTGGAAATTTTTGCACCTGAATTTTCCCCAGAAATATGACATAAATTTTCGAATATTTAAACTCATTCAAAGTTCTCTGAAGTTTGTCGAGGAAATTTAGCAAAATGCATACCTCAATCTTAATATTCTAAAATTGGACAAAACCTTCCCGGAAATATTTTCTTGAAGAAAGCCTTGTGGTTCATGAATTAAAATCAAACATTTAATGACACTTATTAATTCTTCGATTCTTATTAATAAATCATCATCTTTTTATCAATTTCAGATCATACACATGTCATTTTTCAATATTCTAAAATATAAATTAACCTCTAAAAGAAAATTTTCAACTGTGAACAACTGGTGAATCTATTCTGTACCTAAAACGATACGAAACGATTAAATTGGTGAAAAACTCTCAACTACTCTAAGGCAGCGAATAACGATGCATAGATTAATGACTTATTTGCGAATGATGCTATGGTCTTCATGGAGTATTTTATTCTTAAAAATTTAACTAGTTCCAAAATCAATACTCACGGTGTGGCGGTATCCTCTTTGGCACCCTGATTGCGAACCGGCGCGATCGATGGTGTCGAGATGCTCTTCTGCAGGGGAATCCGGCAAACTGTGGGTGCCAGGTTGCGCTTGGCTACAATCTTCTCAAAGTCCCGCTGAATTTCAAACGAACCAAGGTTGAATTAAGAATTGAAAATAAACATTCCGCCACTATTCAGCTTACCGCCAGTTCAGCTTCGTTGAGCGAGTGCGTCGATATCCCTCCGGTGCTGTTGCGACTGGTTCGGTTGTGCAACCTCTCGGCGGCTCGCAGAGATTCCTGCTCTTCGCTGTCCAGGCTCGATAGGCTGACACTGAAACAAGTAAAGTCAATCAAGCTGTTCGATTCGTGAACCGAACAGAAATGCAAACCTCTTGTGAGAAGACTTGGCACACTCGGTCAAATCCTCGATCGCCGTCCAGGACTTCCGCCGGTCGGTGTTGAGACCGTACATGGTTTGCTGATGGGGCCAGATGTTCCCCGGGTTCGAGATCGTCAGGTCCGGCAGCGAAGGACAGGACGAGAACAGCTTGTTCGACGAGAGCTGCAATTACATGGATTTTTTGAGTTTTGGAAGAGAAACGACCCTATGACAATTACCGCTGATCCGATAAATCCGGCACCACCAAAGTTGGTATTCTGGATGGTGGAGTTCTTCATCTGGACCACGCTTTCCCGAATGCATTGTAGGTGGTTCAGGGTATCCTCTGGGAAAAGAAATCGAACGAATTAAAATCTTTGGCAATCCTAGGTCAGGTTGCGCTTACCGAGAAAGTTGTACTTGGCACCCGGACTGTGCGGGGTAACGCTGATGATTGGCACCATATTGACGTGATGGTTGTTGGCAACACTGCTGTTGTTAAAATTCTGGTTGCCCTGCTGCTGCTGCTGCTGCAAATGACCGTAAGCGTTGATGCCCGTGTCGATGACGATGTCGCTCAGTTTGCTCTTGTTGTTGCACTTTTCAACGATGCTGCTGTTGTAGTTGTGAACGTTGTTGCTACTATTACTATTGTTGTAGGTGACTACGGAAGAAGGGAGCTCCTTCGGCGGTGTCGCTGTTGGTTCATTGCATCTCAGGAGACCAGTGGTCACCGGTGCGAGCAGTGGCTGCGAAGACGGCGAAGGTGGCTGGTTGGCAGAGCTTAGATAATCGATTACCACGTCCCCATCGTTTTCGTCGTCTGGCGGGAAAAGGGGAGGATCGGAATGTTAGCACATTTCGGAGGGTTCTATTTTGACCAACAGTCGTCAATAGCTACGAGGTATGAAAAATACTTTTTACGATTCGGTTTTAATGCCGTTTCGGTTCAAAGTTTATTAAGATACTCTAACATTAACCAATCAGTTTTCCAGAGAAACAATGTACACCAGGTTTTCAGGAGAATAGTGTTAAACTGTGATCAGATGAGGGTAGCCCGTTCCGCATAAAGATGTTTTGCATAATCGTTACGAAATAGTGTGTTCGATTTAATTAAGCGAAACGTCTTTATGAGAAGTCATTTTAATGAGGGAAAGATTCATGGAATTTAGGAACGAAGTTCAGGTGAAAGCGTGTAGTATAGCATAGAAAAGCAATGTAACGAGAAGCCATGCAAAAATGTCGTAGCTAGTAATATTATTATAGTTTATTTCGAATGAATTAACTCCCCCTAACTCGATAATAATGAAACTGTTTTAGTTTTAGTAAAATCTAACGTAAATTAAAAAAAAAAATGCATTTATTCAGAAGTATCGCTTGAGTAAGTGACGGCTGCTAGCTACCAGACAGGTCGTAAGCTACGAATAACAGATAACGTAACGAATAATGGTAAGTTGCGAATATACAATAAGCAATTCCGGATGATGTTCTGCTCAGTATGTAAAAACGGTCGCTTTGAGGCCACCGAGCTCCTCATATCAAATCACTCAATTTATGATTTATCATTCAACGTTGTTGTAACCATTCAAACCCGGCACCGACGATGACGATGAAGAAAAGTGAAGATGCAATTTGACTCTAAAATATTTAATATGAAGGGGCCTTGGTTGTCTGCTCAATTAGCAAAACAGGCTGTCTCGGATATCTAAGTCCATAAGTCATATAACAACCACTTAGAATCGATATGGTCATCAATGTCCATGAACATGGTAAGCAATATGTTAGAATTTTGGAAGAAGTTCCATAATTATTATTTAATGGAACTTCATAGAAGTTGTGAAAATTTCTAGAAGTAAAGATATGTGTTTGTATTTGTAATTGAGTCATTCCAGCTCAAGTGGGTACAGAATTTAAAAAAGTTGTAGTCTCTGTCACCGATTTGAGTCAAACTTGGCCAAAACGCTTATTTTCGGCATTCTGAACAAATGCCTTTTTTGATTTTGCTCTAAAAAGCCTAGATCCTTCTCGGCTACAACCCTGGATTTGAACAATTTCAGCTTTCAGGCGAGCTTACTTCACTACGAAATAAGCTATTGGTGATCTTAGAACGTCAATTTGAAGGTTTTTTTTAATGTAGATTTTTAAAGATGTGCCACATCTTGTTTTTGAATTCAAGAAAAAAAAAAAATAAATAAATAGCTTTGATTTTCTCTCAGAAAAGCTCAAAACTAGCACTCACTCATCTGGTCATATCTCTAAAACTATTTTCTCAAATTATTTGCCCTTGGAAATACATCTAGTAGCAGAGTTTTCCAAAGTGTGGCGAAAATTTGAGCCCAAAATATTAAGCAATAAAAAATCTCGCCATGGTGAAAATAGGCCATTTTTTTGCCAATTTGGATGCCTGTCGGTAATCAGTCTGTTTACTATAGTAACTACAAAAACAAAATGTGGGTAAGCCACATTAAAAAAAAAATCAAAATTGACGTGCTAAGATCACGATTTTTTTTTTAATCTCAAAGATCCAGGGTTGTAGCCGAGAGAGATCTAGACACTTCAGAGCAAAATCAAAAAAGGCGTTTGTTCAGAATGCCAAAATAACGGTTTTGGCCAAGTTTGGCTCAAATCGGTGGCATCGCCACAGGTGGTGTACCCACTTGAGCTGGAATGACCCATTTGTATTTGTTTATTAGTAATTCTACTGACAGTTAGTGTCTAAATGAATAAAACTTAAACTAATTAGTTACGGTCCACGGTACGAAAAAGGCCAAGAAGCCGATGACAAAATACGTCAGCTGACACATTGTAGTCGAACACACCAAACAAGTTGTTGAACTGCCGGCTGATTGCTCGAATTGGGTCATGTAGTGCAGAATTCCTGCTCTGTGGTTCCAAAAATAGAATGTCACGTTGACGAAGAGGTCTCTCGGGAGCGTACTGATTTAACTGTGCCAGAAATTCAGTTTAATCGATGTCACCCGTGAGCAGCTTTCCAGTGAACATAGCTTGAGAGACCGCTCAGGAAACGGCAGCACTCCTCGTACGGTGGCAGGTTCGTTGGTTCACGCCAGGTGAGAAAACGAAGAGCGTATCTTGCAAACTTTCGTTGTACGGATTCAATTCTGGCGATCCAGTTGGCTTGGAAAGGTCACCATAAAACAGAACTTGATTCCAATGGAGACCGGACGAGTGAGCAGCAAAGTGACCTGAGGCATAGCGGATCACGGAACTCGTCGGCAATTTTGTAAATAAAGCCCGATTGACGATTCGCTCGGGCAACAATGTCGTTGTAGTGGATTCTGAATGTCACCGAGGTCCTTTATGTTCTCTACACGAGCAAGACTAGGTCCGGAGACGACATAGTCAAAGATTATTGGTTCGTTTTTACGATGATAGGAACTTATGTAATATTTTTCAATGCTTACACTCATCACATTTTTTGAGCACCGGTCAGCAAAAGTACATAACTGCGTAGAAGAACTGCCAACCTGATGGTGGCAGGAAGGAGACGTCGTTTAAGAAAATTGAAAGCAGTAGCGGACCCAGGTCACTGCCTTGCGGGACGCACAAGTTGTTTGAAAAAACGATTCTCACAAGTTCAGGGAACTTCATAGAGGCTCAGGGAAGTCTGGATGAGCTTAATGGTTTGGAAAGTTGTTAATGGAACTTCGTATGAGTTCATGGAACTAAGTTTATGTTCAAGAAACATTATGGAAGTACAGGATCCTCCGTAGAAGTTTTAAAAAATATCGTAGAACTTTAGTGAACTTCGGAACTTAGATATATACGGATTTTAAATAAGATATCAAGAAAGTCAGGATTTAGGATTTCAAAGGTCCCCTACCCGATTGTGTTGTTAGTTTGCGTGGGCGTATTCGTTTTGCGCGAAGAGGTTTTAACAAGATTTGTGTACAAAATTTGATAGGCCCGTTTGAAATGTTATGCGAGTATTATTCATGTGTTCATTTTTAGTAAACAGGGCCCCGCTGATGTATCAATTTTTATTTAGTAGATGAACAAAAGTTCACCCGTGCACTCGTCTATGAAGCGTTCTCAAACAGTTCACTCATCGAAATGTTCATTAGATGGTAAATGAGTTCTCTGTACCATTTCGGGCGCCAAAGCGTAATTCGATAGCCATACGAAGAGCCTAAGCAAACCACGCGTAAAAGCAATGACATCGACTTGAACAAATCCTCCTTCAGGAGTTGTTGACCCGTCCCATCCTTTCATGCACTTCGGGTGGGAAGCGAATTGGCATATGCGTTAACTTAATAGATGGAGAATGCTTTCCTTCGTATTTTTGTTAAACTAGTATGCGTGAAGGCGATTTTTAGAACTTCGTTGATTCCACGTAATTTCTGACGACAAAGATTGCAATTCTTGCGCCTAATCTGAGGATCTTCAGACTTGACTCTTTCACTTCGTTCTGGTCTGTGGAAGAGGCGAGAGCGGTCCAAGTTTAGTTATCGCGCCGTGGTGTGAAATTAAAGGTGATAAAAGTAAACGTGAAAATTTCTTTAACTTTGCTTATTTAGATTTTATTTATAAATTCCCTCGATTAGTTCGTTAGTTTTCGAAATTAAAGCAGAAAGTGCTTATTGCGTGTTTTGAAATCGAGGTAATTTCTTGTGCATAAGTGTGTTTAGTGTGCAGATGATGAATGCCACGCGACGGCATTTCTCTTTGGCAGATTTATTGCACGTTGCGAAGCTCGTCACACCACCCACATCGGTCAGCGATCGTTTTCGACCCCATTTTCCAGCTTCGAAGGACACCCGGTGGTACCCGAGGCCGGAAGAGGGCAGCAAAAGGTTTTCCAACGCCCTAGGCACAGCAAGCAGCAACCCACTGCTTTCGAACCGGGGACCTTCGTCTTCAGCGGCAACCACTTTCCGCAGTTTCCCGTCGACGGTGATGACCATTAACCAAACTTGAGGCCGTACCTCGTCTAGGTAGAAGTCCACAACTCAGCGTGTGAGGCGTCATTGGAAAACGACATCGGCTATGTGCATTCCGCAGTAGCATCGTTTCGGAGTCCGTAGGAGTAACCGCGTGTGATACACGTGGGACCTACCGCCATCATCGAACAACCGCCAATTCCTCCACGCAAGTAGCGAGTCAAAACGTGAGTAACATACATGTTCACTAAATTCTCATGCGCATGGTTAGTTAAAGCCCCTAACATACCGACATGAATGACTAAAGCAAAAATAATAAAATTTCCAGTCAAACCTCACTACTGACGTCTGGCTCCGTGTTCGCGGAAAATATTTAGCTAAACCATGACTTGGTTCGTGTCTGATCTATTCTGGACAAATTATTTTTATCTAGATCAAAAATTTATGATTTTCGGGCATAAGTCAGAATTAAGTGTCATGTCGGTTTGTCGGTGGTATAACCGCTAGCGTGGCCGCTGTTCGTTCAGCCGTTACCTTTATTCAATTCGCGCAAGCGCCGGTAACGCCAAACAGCTTTTCGTAGCACACCCACAAAATGAACACTATTCGGCACACAGCACACTAAATGAATACCGCCAGAAGAAGAGAGAAGAAAAAGATAGCTAGCTAGAGGGAATGAATTCGAGATAAGCCTAGAATAATAAATTGTCGATAAAGTAGGAGTACGGAAATAAACCATAATGAACATGGAGTAGGGAAAACGCTTCTATAGTTGCGTTACGTTAGAAGCGTTAGGTTCCTATAGTTGTGCATGGATACTCAATACACAACTATAGGAACCTAACGCTTCTAACGTACCGCAACTATAGGAGCGTTTGCCCTAGTTGAATCTGAATAGTGTTACCGGCGGGTCACATAGTAT